TTTTCCAATGACTATATTATCCCTATTTTTTTTAATATTACATTCTAATACTAACTAAACTAAATTAATTATTATTATTAAATAATTATATTATATATCACTTTAAATTTGTATAATTTGGTCCCTACAACTTTCAATGTTATTGTAAAACTTTACATCATATTAATTATTAGTAATATATAATAATATATTAATAGATAATTGTATGTTAATATAGTATTTATGGAAAGAATAAAAAACATAGAATTGTACTAAAATTATACCATGATACTCATATAGGAAAATTACAAAGAGCATTCTTATGTTTAGGCAACAGGATAGAAGGTACAAACATAAAATTTTAGAAAACATTAGGATATTAAAGCACAGCAAGATACACTGTCTAAAATTAAAAAAATGTAGTAAGATACAAGTGGAGGTATACATGTATAATTTTGGTAAACTATAAGTATTTAAGGTCAGTTAAGCCTATAAAAGAGTTGAAGCCTTTGTCACCCACAAACAATAGTACATGATCCCATTGCTAAATAATATTCATCAAACAATATTATGAGGCCATATGCATAACTCATATTTATATAGTAAAGGAGATGTGGAAAAATTAAAGCATCATATTTTGGATGAGTCTTAAGATTTTGAATTATTTATTGAAATTATATACTTCGCTTAGAAAAATTCAGAAGAGGATTTTGAAGGACTGCTACAAAGTGTTGGACATCGAATACATACTGAACAAATAAAATATATGATATGGGATTGCAAAAATCAGGGATATGTATAAAATACTGGGTGTCATATGAGATAATAATCATACATAACATGACATTGTAATATGTAATCTAACATATTAATGAATTTTAAACATAGGAATTTACATCAAGATATATTCTTAAGATATGGGAAAGCCGAGAGTGGAGAGATTTTGGAGAGAAATTGTGGCCTGTGTGGGTTTTGTGGGTTCCAATTTTGTTTTCCAAATACGACCCAAACCCGAGCCCACAATCAAATTTAAAATGACACAATTTTCTCAATATCTTTAAAGGGATATATCACCATATTTTTGATAGCGGTTGATATAACAAAAAATTACCAAATAAAAGAAAATAATATAAATATTATCGAGATAAAGTCTTTAACTCGATATATTAGCTGATGTAGCAATATATCGGCCGATATTTAATACAATGCCTGTGAGAGCAAATATGTAAAGGTTATTTAGATATTAGTTTCTTGATTTTAAATATCCAATAATTATATGTTATTCCCTCAAAGTTTTGAAATTGCTCATAATTTTAGGGACTAATATAAAATTATTAAAATTTTGAGGGACAAATTATAAATAGGCCATATTTAAAAGAAGAGTTAATTTTTAAAAAAACTCTCTCAACTATAGGGATTGTACTAAAAACCCACTCAACTAATTCAATTTGAAAAAATTCCCTTATTATAAGGGGTGTTATAGATAACCCCTCTTAATTTTTGTGCAATTTTAAAAAACAACTCTCAACTAGCGTGTCTTATAAAAACTCCCCTAATCATTTACACTTTTATCGACAAACCCCCTTAATATAGTTACTTCAAAATGTAATTTGGACAAATTACCCTCTTAAAGAAAGCAATTTTAATAAAAAAGAAACCCTCAACTGATAATAAAAGGACCACAACCAATTTACAATTCTTTTTCCCTCTATATCACCCCTTTTTCTTCCATCTGGCTAAAATTAAGTTAATACTTTTATGGTTGATGGATATTTTGGTCTTTTCAAGTTAAGTACTTGTCACATAATAGGTAAGATTTAATGATATTAGTTTTGAGAGGTTAGGTTTAAGTGAAAAAATCCACAGGGGTTAAATCATTTTTTTTAAGTTGAGATAACGGAGATTTACTCAGTTTTAAATATTAGTGGGGGTGGGGGAGGGGGACCGGGGGGGCATAGTTGAGGGGCAGTTTTCTAAAATTATCCCTTAAATCAAAGCACAGCTTAAAACACATGTAATATCAATTTTATAAGTGTGGAGTTTATAGTAAGTCTATCACTCAATGAATTGGTATGAGCTATTTGTCCTTAAATTTATCATGCACATCAACTCTGAAAATCTTTTGCTATAAGAATCTCTAAGAGAAGTTTAATATTTATTTAGGATGGGTATGTGATCCTTCTGATTCCATTTTCTTTCATAATTTGTAATAAATTATTTGACTGGCATTTTATAGTACTTACCATCTTATAAGTTTATGAAGCTAATAGCTTGGATATGAGTATTGTTGTAAATATTGTATTTTTCTAACTCCTTAAACTAAACTTTTGGATGTTGTTTGACATTGGATAGATATAAATTATTATTTTAAAATAAAATTAATATGAGTGCATAATATGTAAAAATCTTTCTCAGACTATATTTTATAATTTTCTAAAACTAGAGAATAATCATTTTGATAGATCAATTAGTAGTTGAGAAGATGTAAAAAGAGTACAATATCATAATTTAGAATTGATCACATAATTTATATTTACTTTCTTGATATAATTTGTACATTCTATTAGAAAATTCTACAAAAGAAAATTCTGGAATATCTATAATTCTCGGTCGCCGGATAAACAACAAGTGGAAATGATTTTTTTTATAACTGAATAAAATCCTTAATGACTAGATAAAAAACTATCATTTATCTTTGATGA